AGGCCATCGCTTCTAGGTTGGAGGCCATTGCTTCTAGGTTGGAGGCCATCGCTTCTAGGTTGGAGGCCATGGCTTCTAGGTTGGAGGCCTCGCTATTAGTTTGAGGCCATTGCTTCTAGGTTGGAGGCCATGGCTTCTAGGTTGGAGGCCATTGCTTCTAGGCTGGAGGCCATTGCTTCTAGGTTGGAGGCTTCTTGGTTGGAGGCCTCGCTACTGTATTAGTTTGAGGCCATTGCTTCTAGGTTGGAGGCCATTGCTTCAAGGAGGCCATTCCTTCTAGGTTGGAGGCCTCGCTATTAGTTTTAAGCCATTGCTTCTAGGATGGAGGCCATTGCTTCTAGATTGCTTCTACTATATAGTAGGTTGGAGGCCTCGCTATTTGTTAGAGGCCATCGTTTCTGGGTTAGGCTGGAGGCCATTGCTTCTAGGTTGGAGGCCATCGCTTCTAGGGTTGAGGCCTCGCTATTAGTTGGAGGCCATCGCTTCTAGGTTGGAGGCCATTTCTTCTAGGTTGGAGGCCTCGCTATTAGTTTGAGGCCATCGCTTCTAGGTCCTAGGTTGGAGGCCATTGCTTCTAGGTTGGAGGCCATTGCTTCTAGGTTGGAGGCCATCGCTTCTGGGGTTGAGGCCTCGCTATTAGTTGGATGCCATCGCTTCTAGGTTGGAGGCCATCGCCGCTATTAGTTTGAGGCCAATTTTTCGATGGAACCAGGCACTTCTGAGGCACTTGAGGACGGGACTTTGTTGGGCATGGCATTGTGGAAGAACCTTGTAAGCCAGAGAAAGAAGCCTTTGCAGAGAAGGCTAACGTGGCAAGAGGTCTTGAAAAGACATTTCAATTTCAAACTTATCAAATGCAACAACATACAAGAACAATACGTCGAGGATTACACCACCCCAGTACCTCCTGATGTGCAAATGCAATCCGCATGCAAGGCACATGACTGTCCCGCACCCATCTCAGTTAGGACTCTTCATCAAGCCAACATGCTCATAGAGCGAGCAGCAACTAGCAGCGCTTTCTCAAGGAACAACAAATATGTAAAATAGTCCTCCTGCACCATAGTGTCATCCTGAAGGGCGGCGGTTGGCGTCGGCTGAGGTCGGAGGGGCACGAGGTCACTTTTGCCACGCATTTCCTTCACGGAACCTACTTGCTGGCAGAAGAGCTACGACCATTGCTGCAAAAGAAGACGGATGCACGCGTGGTGGCAGTGAGTTCGGGTGGAATGCTGAATGTGAAGTATGACCATGCCTATGCCACTGGCACCAAGGGGTCCTATGACCGACAACTGTCCTATGCTTATGCAAAGAGGGGCCAAGTGCTGCTTTGCGAGTACTTGGCAAATCAGCCTGGAGAGCAAATTACTTTCGTCAGTTGTCACCCCGGCTGGACTGACACTCCTGGTGTCGAGTTCGCATACGGCTCAGCCAAGAAATGGTTGCAGCCCATGCGGACGTTGTGGGAAGGAGCTGAGGGGATTTGCTGGCTTTGTGTGGCACCGACTGAGGACATCACTGCAGGAGCCTTCTACTTGGATCGTCAGCCTCAAAAGACACAACTTGCATCGTGGACAGCAAATAACCAAAAGGACGTTGAGCAAATGATGAAAGCACTCCGTGCAGCAACCAGTTCATGAGGCCCAGAGCAGATTATTTTTTGTTCAACCACTTTTGAATTCCAATCTTCGTGCCAGTTCCATCACAAGGTTTTGAGCACCCTAATGATGTTTCACAAACTTGAAAGATCCGGCCGACTCATGCCATCGTTCGCAAAGAGACACAAACAGGTGAATGGACAGACTGCTTAGATTGCAGAGACTGCTCGAATTCTTGCTCGCGTGACCACAGCGGGACCAAAGCGAGAGGACTGAGGATCCCACGGTCGGTCTTTCAGATCCAGGCACCAAAGCTTCGATCGCATTGCTGCATCTCTGGGAGCAGAGGACTGGTCTGCTAAACAGCTAGCGGCCCTGCGCCTAGCGGCCTAACATCTTGCTGGAAATTGCACTTCTCGAGAAAATCACACAAAATGAGTCCAAATGAAAGAAACATCCTCGCGGAGCTGTTTGGGTCTAGGTCTGAAACCTTTATGTGAAGGAGGTTTAGATCTTTCTGCTTCAGAGGATCTCGATGCCATTGTTCCACCGTGCCTGGAGGCAACCTGGACTTGGAATCGGTTTCATAAGGGACGCAGAACTGAGGGACATGGTGCATGGTTGCTGTGCATAAATGCTCATGAATGTTCACAATGCAAGGATGATAAGGATGCAGGTTGGCTCAGGTTGGCGAGTTGCTGTTTTCTCACTCCTTATTCACATGCCTTGCCATGCCGTTTGACAACATCAGACCGCACGTCTTCTGCCTCGGACCGTGTGGAGGTCTTGGAGTTTGCAAATCGCTACATCCGCAATGACACCCTGCCGCTTGGACACATGATCGCCAGCCAGGGTGAACTCGGGGTTCTCGGTGGATCGGCTGCTTTTGCTCCTTTTGTGACCAGGCTTGTGTGGCTGATAAAACAGCTTGGGGCCTGGGGCACGATTGGACTTTGTGACATTTTGGGATATTTTTGAGCAAACAGCAACTTGCTGGGAAGAGAATAGGACACACTATGGAAAGTCTTGGCAGGGTTCTGCTGTGTTGGGTCACGTTGCTTGTCAAAATCTTGTGCAGCCAAGAATCGGTTTTAACATGTTTTAACATGTTGTCCCACAGTAATTAGATACGATATGGCCTACGACATTTTTCAGTCATGTTGTTAGAATTCCAATAGTTCCTTCCCCTCAGACTCCTTTACTGTACTGCTTTGTCTTGCGTGTAAGATGCGTATACAGAGACCTGAGGCTTTGTCTACTGCACGTTTCCATGGGATGTATGACCCCCGATGTCCGCGGCCCAGACAGTGTTCCTCTATAGACCCATATATCATATATGATATCGTATATACTCTATATATCTATACATACAATACATGTATTTCTGGTTTCCAGCGTCTTTTGGATCAAAGATCTAATCACTGCAGATTTGATTTAGCAGCGTTCCGGGGTCTCCAAATCTTCTTGTTGGATATGTTGGATGGCCTGTCACTTTCCAAAAGCCAAGACTTGACTGACGCTCTTCAAGAGAGAAGTCTACTGGAACACTGTACCCACAGATCCTATGCATTGGGACTCATGCATTCCTGACATGGCTTTGGTGGCTTTGAGACATGGGCCAATGGGGGGCTGGACTTTCCTGAAACAGAACTGAGAAGCATTGGAAGTGGACTGACTCAAGGATAGGTGGGCGTGTTGACCGCCAAACAATGCTCGGAACATCTCGGGACCCTTTCCATCCTTTCCCTCTAGTTGCCATCGTGAACTTTGCTTGAATCCCAAACTTTGGACCAACACGTACTGATGTTGTTTGTGTAAAACAGTTTGAGAAGGGACCCTTCAGGATGCTTTGGCTCAAAACTTTGCTTCGAATGGAGGAGGTTCCAAGGCTCTAGGGCAGTCAGCCCAGTTTCACGGATGTGCTGAGGCGCCTCTGGAAGAACGTGGTTTGGCGATGCGGCGCCATGCTGCCCTGCTAGTCACAAAGCTTAGCACTGATTTCACAACCGCTCAGCTGCTTAGCACTGCTTTACGGAACATACATGACACATGCACAGCTCCTCGGTGTTTCATGGGCGTTGCTGACGCACAGAAGGTTTTGCGCGTTTCCTCTTGCTAGTTCACTATCGCATTTTCATATCATAGAGATGAACTCGCTTTTTCCTCGAAGGCAGGCGACAAAAAGGCAAGCTCACTCCTTCAGCCGTATCGGTCCAAGAAGAGCCAATAGGCATTTGCCCACGTGGCGCACGACTCCAACAGTTGCTTGGTCAAATTGTGTTCAATCTTGAAGTTAGAAGGAAGAGTCGAGGTGCTCAAATAGAAGCTCAGAGAGTTCAAACGACTGCTTTCTGGTTGTGTAGTCTATCCACTGCCTTGATGCAGAGAGTACACCTTCAGTATGTATGAGTATACATTCTTGAGTATTCAGTATATCAAGGTTTGTCCGATAATCCAGCAGATATTGACAGACGGGTTGGGGCACTGCCTGAAAAAGCGCCAATAAGGTCATGGTGAAGGTGACCGTCGGCAAGGCTGAGGATCCCTGGTGTGAGATTGAGCTCACCGAAGAGGACGTGGAGGAGACCCGAGAAAAAGAGACATGTTTCTGGGCATTCGTCGATGTCAATGTTTTGTTGATTTCCCATGCTGATCCAAGAGGAGCTTGGGCAAACTTTTTGTTTCCTCCTTCTTTAATTCTTTCTAGTTCGAGTACTTTTGACCTTTTTTGGGACCAACTCTTTTGAGGCCTTCGCATAGCTCAGCAAGCAAGTTTACAGTGCTTTTGTTGACAACGAAACACCTAGATTTCATCGGTCAACCCGCAAGGACTGGAAGAAGGGTGTGGACATCACTGAGGAGAAATTCAAAGAGGTTGCTCGAGACGGTGCAATTAACAATTCAAATTCGATCAAATTTGGATGTGGGGCTCGTCAAAAAGCTTGTAGCCATTCTTCTGCAGCACAGCAGGTGATTCAGCTGCCCCCAATCACCTTGGAGAATTGCCATGAGCGTGAAGACGGAGACTTACAGCCTCTTGGAGAAAGGTGCTTGTCTTTGTGACTGAACCAAGAACAACGTGAGGTAAAGGCTTAACGGCTTAAAAGATCATCAAGGTTTCTGTGCATTTTTCTTCGATCCAGATGACTCTCTTCAGTGTTCATTCCCTTTACTGTTGTGTGACGCATAACACCACCCGGTTAGACAGACTGGACGCTCAGTGCCACGGTTGGCGACCTGCCAAGGTGGGATGAGATCACCTTTGAAGAGGAGGTGAATGGCAAGTACTGGCGGGGACCCCAGGGGGGACTCCACGAGTTTGACGAGTTTCGGTTTCGTCCATCTTCGAGTAGCAGGTTTCGTGAAAAATGTCGAAGTCAGCTACATAATGCCCCACAATTGAAGCAGATATTGAGAGCCACTCAGTATGCCAACTGGTACTATCAACATCGATCAACAACAAAACGTTTGGACCTGAACACTGTTCTCAAACGTTTGCGGACTTGGGCTGGTATAGATCTTGAAGACTTGGGCGGTTTGGGAATGGATCAGTGTCGCCTGCGAACGCCTGCACGATCTTTGAACAGGTCCGCCCCTGTTTCGTATTACTCTCAGAGAAGTCGAAGGTCCCCGCCGCACCGCCTTTGGTTTGAGCATTTTGACTGACTAAGTCCCCTGACTATCCAAAGATCCAATTCCAATTGCTCTATTCCTTGTGAAGGCACGCCGTGATTATGGCCTTGCACCGGATCCGAGAGGATTTTGTGAAGAAGCAGTGACTTTGGCCTGAGAAGAGCAGGGTGAAACTGTGATTCTGGCAATCGCCCGCAAATAATTTGCAATAACCTGAACCCAAGCTGACAGTTTGGGCTTTGACTCCATCCTTACATATGTTAGACTGTTGGATGTCAAAGATTCACGAAGGGGCTTATCACTTGCACTTCGACCGTTTCTTTGCCTCGAGATCGCGCTTTCGCGCTTTCAGGCGAAAGATGAAGCACCTGGACTGGTATATGACTATGAAGAAGACCAGTGACTGGGCTGACTGGGCTGACTGGGCTGACTGGGCTGGGACAAACACCGGAAGATCGGAGATACTTGGAGTCCAGATCCAGCTACGCCACGTCGCCGGAATTCTGGGAGCCATTTTCTAGGGTGAAAGGTATCCTTGCAGGTCCTTGCAGTCTTCATGAGGAAAGAGCTGTGTGAGCTCTAGTCCCCCATCCATTCAGCAAGCATTCAACGCCCTTTGGCCTGTCGTGGTTGACCAATTGCATCATGCCATCTTGAGGTGACAAGAGGAATGCCAAGTACTATGCTCCTTGGCTGTAAAGACTGGATGCTCCAAGTTTAGGCCTTGAGTGTTTGAATGAACTGGATACTCCAGGCATCTCCAGGCTATGCTTGATATTCTTCAATCAACGTTTGATATTATGATATTCTTTCATCAAAGTTTGATTTCTTAGATGCTGGTTTCGTTATGTTGCTTCCAAAAGGTCATCACATAACAAGTGAAACTTGCGGGTGCATTGTGGCCGCTGGCACACACACTGAATCCCATCCAAGGTTTGAAGCTACCAGGCCGAGTCTCCTGGGCATTTTGGCGATGTCAGCGTCATGGTTTGTCGCCTGAAGTGAAATGATCCATTTCTTCTACAAACACAAGTGAAACGGTCTCCTTGGCCTCCCTGCTTTCAAGTGCTGCCATTGCTTTTCTTCACGGGCAACTCGGCTCCTGAATGTCTCCATACCCTCCGACAAGCTAGGAGTCTTCACGGACCATACCAACCTCTTCCCGGAGGGTAGGCCACATTGGGCAAAACCCTTCTCTGAGACTAAACCTGGATTGGCAGGGCCTTGCCGATTCGCGGCAACTGAGTCTGGGCAGTCGAGTGCTTGTGAGCTCTTTTGGTGAGCTGGAATCGAACTGGTTCTTTCTCTTGTTGTCTTGTCACTCATGCTTTTGGCAGAGCCCAGCAAGAGACATACTTATATAATAATGTACATATATGGGTCAATGAACATATCGCGGCAGATCTGCACTCTCCCAGCGCACCTGAGACGAACACGGCTCTCAGATAAGAAAGGTAGTCTATAGTGGCCCAGTGAGCAAGTTGTGTCTACACACAATTTGAGCAACACAAGAACAACCTGAACACTTTTCTGCCAATGGACAATCATGGCCCTTTGTATTGTACTTGATCTTGTGCTCTCTTCCAGAGAAAGGTTGCTGCCTGTCAAGGGACATTCGAATATAAGAAGCGTCCAATTCAAATGGACATGATTGGCACCTGCGGCCTTGCGAAAAGCGTGCTGCAACGCTGCCTCAGGTCTTATATGTCATTCACCGATGTGCATTTTTGAGCTTGCTTGAGATTCGAGATACCAAGATATCCCAAAGGGGAAAGAGGATTGTCCAATCCATGGAATGTTGAGATGGATCTGCATTTTGTAACAAGGTGGTAGGCAGCCGTAGGCATGAAACCATTTCACCATGTTGCATGACTTCAATGAAGCAGTGGTCCTCCATTTACAGTAACTCTTCTTTGTCACTTAGTATACTCTTGCTCCGACTTGCTCCAAACATAAGGCGTTACACAACTCATCCCATGTATGCAAATCAAATCTCTATAACAGCCACCAGTCTGAGACTTACCAAAGAGTCTCAGCATTGAATGATAAGCCTGTCAGCGACTGTTTGATACACTCCCATGCCAAGGCCAAGCACGAAGCTATGCCGATGCTGGCGGGGGAGCCATGTGCCCGTTTGATTTGAACCACAAGTCACATGTTAGCTCTAATTATCTGAGCGGCCGAACACAGCAAAGTTGTACCCAGATGTTTGATGATGCTTGCTTAGCAGATGAAGAGCTTTCACAGTTTTTTTGATATCGGTGAAGATAGACCAACCATAGAAACCTGCAGCTGTTGTGGTGACACAACGTTGTTGATCCTTGCATCCTTCTTTTGTTGATCACTCCCCTGAGAATGCTTTGCTGAAACTTTGGAACAACATGATGCAACTTCTGTAAGTAGTCTAGGCCAGTCCTCCGGGAAGCTGCGCCGCTGTGCTGCTACGTTGCTTTGTTCGGGGAGCACTGACGGACCACGTCGACGTGCAAAGCTTGAGGTCAGAGCTCTCGATCATCTCCTGGGCCTGGGCACTGAAGAGCGAGACCAAGAGGACACATTCGGCTTTGCTAACGAGGGTTGCCGACCTCGGGCACCTTAGAGCGGGCTTAGGTCTCGTTCCATGAGGGTCCTCAAAGAACTGGGTTGGATAGATGCTGGTGACTTGTTTCAGATCGATGAGGACCCTGGTACCCCTTCAAACTCCTTGTTCGAAAGGGTGCGCTTGAAGGGCGAGAATCGAGAATGCTTTGCTTCAGGGCATGTAAAATAGAGCGTGAACGCCTTGCTGTGGGTTGCATCAGATTGCCTTGAGGGAAAGTGATTGTTGTACACCTTGCTCCTCGAACGCTTGAATGCTGGATAGATCCACTTTCTTCACTGGATTGGATCAGAAGCGTTTCTACCTTTTTTGTAGGTTTGTGCGCTTCACTGTGGCCAGAACAACTCTCCGCACTGATATCGGGCTTGTGCCAGGGCTTGGTTTTGCAAACTTGCACGACCATTCTTGACATTTTTGGTCCTTGCTACATCACTCCTCCGGAGTTCGGTTGGCAACAGCGCCGTCAGACCCAGGTTGAACAACCCTCCCGCCACTGACAGGATCTGACAGGCTTCATGCCCTCCAAGCCCTGTTTTCTTGCACGCCCACTCTGGCTTTGCTTTCCGTCGATCCGGAATTGCTATCGCTCCACACCGAGATGTCCCGCATCACCATGATGCGCTGCGCCCGGCTTTATTGGTCCGAGGCCACTGCGTTTGGAATCGTTTAGACATACCCCCACAGTGCCCTCAAACCATGGAATTCAGCGCAACTTTGGAAACCCCACTGGCCAGGCAATGACTGAAATGCCTCATGCGTCACGGTCCGGGATGCTTCATGGTCTGTGGCGATATGACTGCGTTGATTCCTTTGTGTCAGTATCCGTTGGACGCAACATTCACAAGGGTGGACAGTACAAAGCTCAAATTGGTTCGACACAGCAAGCGTTGCGCAACCGCTACGCCGCTACGCATTGTTGGAGAACTGGATTATTTTACTGAGAACCCAACAACTTGAAACAGTGAATGCTCGATGGCGGCTGTAGTATACCTTGTGCGCATATTGTGGACTCGCACCTTATGCGAACGGCTTTCCATGAGCATTTCTATACATGTGTTTGTGTTACATGATTACATGAGTGCCGAGAAATTGAAGAGGAGTATCCAACAGGTGGCACTGCACTACCAGCAGTTGAGCAGCCTATTATACAATCTTGCTACGATCGTTTCTACCCACCAGTGGCCACAGTGGTCACCCCCTGAAAGCTCTGTTCTTCTGCGAAGCTGGAGCTCTTATGGCAAGCCACGTTGTCCCCTGGACTCACCTGAATACTCAGCTGCAATTGCCACCTCGTGCTTGTTTTTATGGTCGCAGGGAGTGTGATACTGTTGAGTTAGCTATGCCATCCGTCTTTCACATAATTTGCGCATTGTCGGTTTCACCTTCGTGTCTACTCCACTAAACCCAAGCCTCCTCTCTGGTGTCCATCAGCTGCAAAGCGCACTTTAAGCGAAGCTTTACAACCTTTTCCGCTTCGGCTTGGCATCCCGCCTCTCTGATGAACGGCCACAATCTATTTGCATTTGAGTCAGAGTCCCTGTCCATCTTCAGATCTGGGAGCAAAGGGTGACTGGCAAAACCCGGAGAGCAAACCCAGAGGCGGAAGAAAACACAACAGCTGGGCGATGTGTCGCCGCCAGACGTAAAAGCATCTGAAGCCTGAAGCTGTTGAAACTCGCCTTTTCATGTCTTCGGCTTGGAGTCTGAAGCTCAGCAGCGCCTGGAGTCCCAAAATGGACCCGGAAGCGATACGTATCACCACCTCACTGCACTATACCGCACTATAACTGGCCGCCTCATCATAGCAATTATATTGTAATCGTTACAGTCGACCGCTGGCGGACGACGCGGAGGTTGTGACATTCCACCAGATGCGGTTGACGAAGCAAAGTAAATGCTTCCTGAAGGCATCCACTCATAAGCTGTCCAGGGAGCCCTGCCCCGCGCCGGTGCAAGTGGAGCGTATCGATCTCTATGGCGAGGAGCCTAGGGGCCTTCCTGCCTGGCTCCATTTGTCATGGCCAGTGTCGTCCTCGTGGTGGGAGCGTTGGGGCGGCACCTTCCTATCCTTCCCTTGCTGCTGAACCCCGGATGTCTTGTGGCGGACGGGCGGTGGCTTCCCCAGAGCCTCCTGCGCCCCTGTGGGGAAGCCTGCTGTGCCCATGACACCAACATCAACGCCTCCCCCTCCGAGACGGTGCCGTCACGGAAACGACGCCGTGGATCGCAGGCCCCTCGACCGTCATGTCAGTGCCTCCGGGCTGCAAACGCTGTGGGTGGTGTCGTGCACTAGTTGGACATGCAGCCCAATGTGTATGCAATGACCTGTTCACAGGATTTCGGGTATGTGGTGATAGGCCACACGCCGTCATAATTGGTTTCGATTTGCATTCGGACACATACTCCTGCTGACATACTTCAGCTCCAGTCAAGCTGCATGGCTCATGGACTTGGGCCATTTTTTGGGTTGGCACTTGCGGGGCTTTGCGGCGCCATGCGTTTCACTTGACTGATGTGACCGTGTATTGTTTCTTTTCCGATGCTGTTGCTAGTTGCGGTGTCAATTCGTTGCGGCCTTTCTCCTGAGTTGGCACTGTTTTTCCAACACTAGGGATGCATGGAAACCGATGATTCGGACTCCAGTGTGGAAGACGACTGAGAGATTTGTAGCTTTCCTTTGTTGTGACATGATGTCTTATCTCGAGTCTTGTAGGGCTAGGGCTAGGACCGTGCCATGCGACTCAACCTCTTTCTTGCCAGGTTTGGTCCTCAAACGCTGAAGGACGAACGACCGCCCGGCGTGAGGGCACCTCCTCCTGGAAACACATTCTCGTGAGTGTTACAAACTACAACGTAGCGGAGGGTGGACAGTGTAACACTTCTTCAATTTCTTTGTGTTTGGGAAGTACTCGCTGCATCATCGGAGGCCCAACCCAGTAGAGAAGGCCCATTTCAGGTCGCCCGTCGCAACGCAAGGGTTGAGGAGTAATCATCGCGACGCCAGCCAGGTGATCAGGTGGCAGTGTGGTATCCAGATGCTGATGTACCTCACACACCTCACTGCGAACAATGATGTGGAAGATTGTGGAAGGTAAGTGTGGTTCTGCCATGTGTACTCCCCCTACACCTTTATTGGCAGTATGCCGTGGGGGCTTTATCCAGAAGAGAGGATGGGTCAGAGGTGCAGGATCCGAAGCGGCGCCATTCTCTGCCAGGACGGCTGAGTACAGCTTGTGAGAGTGGGAAGCGAGAAATTTCATGAGGCGAGACGGCGGAGCGCTTAAAAGCGCAGCCAACCCGCACAACCAGGAGAGGAATTGGCAGCCGCACGCCCGCTTAATGCAACAGAAGTGTGTGCACTTGAGGAGGCGCCGGAAGGATTTGTGTGGCTGCGTGTTCCTACGCTAGGTGAGGCTGACACTACCGAAGAACTTTTGACGTGAGGAAAGGAATGGGAGTCCAAGCAGGCCGCGGCACGAATTATACAACGCCTATATGAATGTACAATTGATGAAGGTTGAAGATTCCCCTAGCATCTTCGCATTGTAGGGCAAAAGCCCATCCAGTGAAGGAGGGCGTGAAGGCTGAGGAGGAAGAACTCCGTGGACGGGATGCGCGGGCGGTTGATTGCAATTTAGAAGGCCCATGCCTTTCTCTATTGTTACAGTTGTGGAGGAGATTCAGATGTATGGAATGTTGAGCGGGTGATTGTGGCCCAGCCAATCGTGGACGCGTATGCAGCAAAAAGCGCATAGGCAATCTTCACTGACTTTCAGCGTGGCCTATCTCCGTTAATAACAAGGGAACAGAAGACGCGATTGCCTAGAAGAAGGGTGGGGTTTGACTCGCCCAGTTCTAGGGCCAAGAGCGGGGGCGGCAGTTGCATCCCCTGACCCCAGTCAATGTCTGAGGGATTGGCCGCGCTCATTTGGACATCAGCCAAGAAAAACATTTTGCAGAGCCGTGCGCAGGCTCATTCTTGAGAGAACTTCTCCTACCGGGGCTGTGGTGTTGCAACAGTTGTTCAATGTTGAGCGTGTTGTCGCTAACATTGTTTGACCACCAGTTGTGCATGGATACATTGAGCAAGCAAGATTGTTCGGTTGAAAGGGTTGTCGCACGGTGAGCTTGTTTCAAAGTTCGAACCAACATCGACATCGAAGGCACGGCCTTCAGGCGAAGAAGAGGCAGTCGCGAAAGTGTCTTTTGGATCAAAAACAAGGGAGGAATCCAACAAAATTCTTTGGTTTTGTGCAGTTGGACGCTGGTGGGAGCTTTTGGTTCAATGCTTCGAAAGCAAAAAGGAAAAAATCTTGTGGAAGATGCCACTGTCATGGCTGCCCAAATGTTTCACGAGGTCTTGGTTCGAGTGATGCGTCGGTGTTGAAAAACTGGCGGCGTTCGCGTTTCAACGGTTGACGTACAGCGTTCAGCAGCTCTTGGACAGCGGTCGACATGTTGAACACGTTGAGCCGCATGTTGAATTAGAGTGCGACGGTTGGCCAGATAACCACTGCGGTCTTGCAAGGAAATTGTACGCAAGTGTGACTTTATAATTGAAGGGAAGCTGTTTGTCAACTGAGAGCAGCGAACAAGGCGAGGAGCGCAAGGGGTTTAAGCTTGAGATGGCGTTCGCAAACTTCCTAACGATAGAGGTTGGGAAGGTGGCTGGACAAATTGCTGGATGAGGGGCCTTAGTGGGCACTTTGCGATATTTTGCGCACAGAAGCATTTGATTGAAACAATTTTCTTGAAGTGTTGCTTCGGACTTGTCCCGACAGTAATTCGACAACATTTGACTTTGACGTTTGCAGCTAGCGACGGAACACCGGACAAGGAGAGAACATTTTGAGGTATGTGAGGTCCACAGACGCGTTGAAGAACTTGGCGCGGATTTCGAGTCATTCTGTGGGAGGCCGATGCCGGAGGACGGCGCCAATGGAGGTTGACTA